TTTAAAAAACAGTCAGAAAGTGTGGCTGATCTTGACTCTAAAGCTAATACTGCTTTCCTTAAAGGGTCCAAAACAAATGCAAGGATTCGTAAATCAGAAAAAAAATTTCTCCCTTGAATTATATGTTTTACTTTATCATTTAATAAATGATTATGTTGAGAAGTAATTTCCTCAAGAACTGATTCTAGCCTTATTACTGATTCTACTGACTCACTAGCAGTGGTCCAGCGTGTCTTGCAATACATTTTTATCCCTCCTCCATTAATTTTGTTTTCATTAATTAGTCAAATAAGCACAGCACCAGCTTGATGAGAACTTTTAAAAAAAGTAGCTAAATTATTAACCCGTCGTAATAAGCAATCACCAAAGTTCTCCTTGACAATGTCACATGCAATTAAGTTGATAGCATGTGCTATACAACGAACATTCTCTATATTTGGATATTTCTTTTGAATAATTGCACGTGCATTTCGAACATTTGAGGCATTGTCTGAAACTATGGCTGATATTCGATTCACTCCAATACTTTCAATAATTTCTTCAATTACCACAGCTAAGTATTCTGCAGTGTGAGAAACTTCTGACAAGTCAAGAAGTTGATAAAGATATTCTTTTCGTGAGGGAGTCATAATAACAAAATTCCAAATTGAGCGATGTGTACCAGAGGTCCAGCCATCAAAGGCTAAATTATATCAACATTAATATAATTAAAAAATCTACAACAGTTTGATTTTAAAAAAAATTTTATTAATTTTTTAACAAACCTAATGTTAGATTGGTTTCCTTCTCAATTTCAGATTTAACCTTGGAGTTTACTTGAGATAACTCACGTTCAAGTAATTGACCTGATAAAATTTCTCTTGATGGTGGTTCATACCCAGCATTGAGCTCTTTCACAAAATTGATAAAAAAAGGATGTTCCACTATTCGAAATGATATACCACATGTAATAAAAAATTTAGCTAGAGCACGGTTAATACTGGTAATTCTGGCATTTGGAAGTTCTATAGAATCGTGATAATTTGTAATAATGGTTTGTTGGCTATTTTCAACTTTCTTTTTCTTAATTGGTGCTTTATCCTTACGTTCTAACACTTTGGACAGATATTTTCTTACAATTGTTGCAGGGGCTTTTGAACAATGGTTGGCAAGATGTTCCTCAAGTTTTGCAACTTCGCCACGTGTCCATTTACTTGTACAGTATTTACAAGAGGCATTAAATTTTCCAAAGCCAACAGAATCTCCTTTATTAACATCTTCCCAAATAGAATTAATTGGCCTTCCGTGTTTTTTTTTTTTTTCTTTTTCTTGGCTAGGAACAGGCGAGTCCTCTGGATTTAAAGAGTCATTTAAAAAGTCGGAATTAAGAGGAGTGTTCATATTAATATTGAAATTTGCATAAGCTTTTGTGTATGCTTTTTTTTAGTGAGAATTTAAAACGACGTGATGGTGTTTGAAAAAAAAAAAAAAATAAATGGGAATTAATTATCCGTAACACATTTTTGTTAAACCTTAATTAGGTTTGATTTTATTATATAGATTTTGAAGATTCAACATATTGAAATTAATATGAAAAAATTCATAAATTAAAGATTGACGAAGTTGAAAGTTGGATAAAAATCTTTAAAATTAAATAAAGTTTAAAGTGAAGAAGTAAAGGTCAAAGTATGTAAATATAATTCAAATAAAGATCGATATCGATAATAATAAAGATTGATAATAATAAAGATTATCATGAGTTATCACGATATGATTGGTTGTGGTGGCTTAGATTTGTTACACCATAAAAAAGTTTAATTATCATATTTGAATTAGTTAAAATTTTAAGTGTTACGCAGGTTATGAATAAAATTTTAGGG